CAAAGGAGCAGCTCGCCACCTCGACACGGATGGGACAGCTCGCCACCTCGACACGGATGGGACAGCTCGCCAGCACGACGCTCCGATAGACGGTCGGTCAGGTCTATCTGCCCGGCCGCCCAAGCTACTCTGACCGAGATGTAACCTAATTTAAGCACTATAAATAGCCCTGTAACTTCATTTATTATGGGTCCGTAATCTGAAATAAAGACAAAAACACTCTACACTTAAATCTTCAACTCTTACCTCGTTTACTTGACCTCGTAATATCACCTCGAGAACCTCATATCGATCTCACCTCTACTCAAACAAGAATCTCCGAGCTCCACTTAGAAACATTTACCAAAGTGACCTCGTGTGCGGATATAATACAACACTGTTCATCCCAAACTACTCCAGGGCCATTCCCTTCAAGTATCTACGATTGAATTTCAGTGCAATTGTAAATCAAACAATCAATAACAACATAAAAAGAGATTTATTTTGTTTTTGGTATTGAGATCATTACCTTAACTACATCTGTCATTTTGAGCTGAGGCCGTAATGTAACATCAAATATATTGACAACGGAATAGGTATTCTTCTCAAACACTAGTGTTGTAGTTCATTACAAAACATACTCAATAACCGAATTATATCACTACGAATCAATGAAACCCATCTCATAATTAATAAGCAGAAGAAATGAAAAACTATTCTCTACAAGATCTGCAAATCCTATAGCTATATGGTTTGTGGCCTTCATAGTGGAACATCAGTAGCTACTAGCTAGGAATTCAAATGCTCTGATCAGAACAAATTAAGCTTCTCATTACAGATTTTGATCCATCAAATTTTTGAAAAAAAACAAAGCTTTAGAAGATGACCAATAACTGAACAAGCATGCACACGAATACATAGGACTGTATTATATCTTCAACCACCACACTTTTTGCGATCATTGATGCCACCGGTTTATTAGATTTAGGGCTTTCAAGCATCCACCTCCAATCCTCAATGCCTTGGAGAGCACGGAGGAGCTCTGTAGATTGAACTTGGAAGGACGCCAAGCTTGCGGTCGGTTCACAGCTCCAACCAATTCCAAAGCCTCTGAAGCAAAAACAATTTTGTCAATGTGATGATTGCACATACTTTCCACTGCCCAAAGGTGGCTCCTTGCTTTCGCCTCATTTAGGTTTTCAATGCCACTAAAAGCTCTGCGACTGTGAGCATGGACTATTCCATTCTGGTCTTTTAAGATCCATGCTGCACCCCCTATTCCTTTCATTCTCGACCAAGCCACACCAATATTACACTTTAATATCCCTGCCTCGGGAGGTTGCCAATTTTGTGGTTGCCTTGGTTCAAACTCTGCACCCTCAACTTCCCATTTAGTGCTATTTTGTAGTAAAAACCACTGGTTTGTGTCTTCCCAAATCTTCTCTGCAGTTTGTAGCGACGTGAACACCTTTCCTTCGAATCTAAATTGATTCCTGTTTTTTTAAATCTGCCAAAGGATCCAAAAAAAACTTCTACCAATCTCCTATGATATCATATCTTCTTGTACACATCTCATCAAGTAGGATATGTTCACATAGATCGAGTTTTTGTCAAATCCTTCTGGTGGATAGGGAAAGTTTGTTTGAGCCCACACTTAACAAGCAATGGTGCAGTCAAACAGAACATGGTTTATTGACTCGCCGTCTCCTCCACATATTTGACACACACCATCGACCTTCATTCCCCTTGCTTTGAGACCATCGGATTCTGATAGAGCATCATTTAACGCTTTCCACAGGAAGAGTTTGATCTTTGGAGTCGTATTGAGAGACCATACTCTGTTTCGAAGAGGGTTTAATGATGGTTGCATCAGTGCAGCTGACCTTACTTCTGATGAGTTCATTTGTCTTCCTAACCAATATCCTGATTTCACTGAGTACTCCCCACAACTGTTGTAAGCCCACTCATATCCATCTGATAGTCCAAAAGCTGGTTTGTTCTTCATAATGATCTCGATGTCACCTGGTATAAACACCTCTTCCAGCTTACTACGGTTCCATGTCCCTGTTTGAGGGTCAATCAGATTGCACACCTTGAGGTTCAAATCCCAGAACAGAGCTCTTTGATAAGGAGCCCTTGGATTCTCATCAAAGATCCAGTTATCGAGCCATACACTAATCATTTCACCCGACCCCACTGATTTTTTGAGACTTTTAAGCAGTACTTCTCTTCCATGCAAGATGTTCCGCCAGGCATATGAAGGTCCAGTTCCCATAGTTGCAGAGAGGAAGCTTGATGTTGGGTAGTATCGACTTCTAATGACTCGAGAACACAGACTATCTGGAAGGGCAACCAGTCTCCATGCTTTTTTGACCAATAAAGCCTGGTTAAACAGCTCAATGTCCCTGAAACCTAGTTCCCCCAGCTTTTTTTCCAAGCACATCATTTCCCAAGATATCCAATGAATTTTCCGTTTGTCCTCCTGTACATCCCACCAGAAGTTTGACATAGCACTTGTTAGGTTCTGACAAGTTCGCTTCGGAAGTTTGAATACTGACATGACATAAACAGGCGTAGACATAGCTACTGACTTCAACAAAACCTCATTTCCACCCTGGGATAAAAACCTCCCGTGCCACCCATGAAACCTCGATTTCATCTTCTCTTAGATATGTAAGCTTTTTTCTCAGCATTTCAACTTTAGAGCCACTAAAACACTCCGGTAATCCAAGGACTTCCCTACTCCCCCTTCCGATTGTATCCCTAATTTTTTTCTTATCCTCTGTTTGACTCCAGCATCAATAGCCTCACCAAAGGTTATTGATGATTTGTTGAAGTTAATAATTTGAACTGAGAATTTCTCGTAGTCCTTGAGCACATCATTTAGGGTGTTACATTGAGCATCATTCGCCTTACATAAGACAAGGAAATCATCTGCAAAGAACAAGTGATGCACTGCAGGTCCATCAGCGGTGAATTGGATTCCAGATATACTTCCATTAGCAGCTGCCTTATTCATCAAGTGAGAGAATCCCTCCATGCACAAGTCAAAAAAGAAAGGAGAAAGTGGATCTCCTTGCCTCAAGTCTCGTTCTGGTTTAATCATACCATGAGCCTCTCCATTAATTAGAACCGTATATGTCACTGAAGTTACACAGAACATGATCCATTGCACAAATCTCGGATGGAATCCTAGGGATTGAGCAGAGATTTTATATAGTCTTATTCAATCCGGTCATATGCCTTTGACATATCGGTTTTGATTGCCATATCTTCTGCAGAGATCCGTTGGTGAATTCTGAGGGCATGAACCATCTCATGTGCGATCACAAAGTTGTCTGAGATGAGTCTGTCAAAGACAAATGCAGACTGCATGGGTGAGACAATATCTTCTAACCAGGGTTGGAGTCTCGTAACTAGGACCTTGGACATGATTTTGTACACCACTGTACAAAGACTAATCAGTCTCAGGTCCACCATCTTTCTCGGCTTAGTGACTTTTGGAATGAGGCATATTTGCATATTCCATTCTTTTGGAAATTCTCCTATTTCAAAGAAGTTCCTCACCTCTGCAACAACTTGTGGTCCAAGGAGATCCTAATATTGTTGAAAAAATAACCCATTCATACCATCCACCCCGGGTGCACTAGAAGGGTTAATAGAGAAAACAGCCTTCTTTATCTCTGTTTCAGAAACTTCTTTCATCAAGCATCTATTCATCTGATCTGATACTTTTTTCGTGAATCCATTGAAGAAATCCGCACAGCTTTCAACCCTCGAAGTCTTGAACAGGAATTGGAAATATGCGCCTGCTACAGCCCCCATGAACCTGAAAATGTGGCTTTACCTCCTTGATCGTTGACCAGGAAATCAATTTGGTTTCTCATCTTTTGAGCTTTAACCGAAGCATGGAAGAACTTGGTGTTCTTGTCTCCTAACTGAATCTATTTATCTCTGCACTTTTGTTTCCAAAAACTTTCCTCCTCTTGATATGCCTTGGCGATCTCATATTTTAGATTCCTGCAATACTCCATCCAATGATGCATAGATGATTCCTCAATCTCCAGCTCCTTCCGTTACTCTTGTTTTCCTTTTTCCATTTGCTGAGAGACTTCCTGCAGGCCCCCGATCTATTCACCAAGCTTAGAGGCACAGATTGGTGATTCCCAAGCCAAGCTGATCGTATCGCCTCCTTAACTCGTGGCTTCCCAATAAACCGTTTGTCAAAACAGAAAGATTCCAAGTTTCAGATTGTCTGTTCATCAGGTTCACCAGAACATGGCTATGGTCAGAACCAAGCTTCTCCATAAATACTTGGTTAGCATGGGAAAAGTATAGTCTCTAAGCCTTATTCCCAAAATACCTGTCAAGCTTACTTTGAATCCAGTGAGTTTGTCTCATCCCAGTCCAGGTAAAACCATCACCACTACTTATCAACTCGGTCATCTCACAAGTTCTGAGCATCTCTGCAAAATCCTTGAAAGATCCATTACTCCTCTTCGGACCACCAAGCTTTTCTCCATTATGTAAGATCTCATTAAAGTCTCCAACCATACGCCACACTTCCTTCCTCTGCACTCCAATGTGCATTAGTTTTTCCCAAACATGTGCTCTCCCCTTCACCTTAGGGTCACCATTAACAAAAGACACATAGAACTCAAATGAACCAAAATGTACAAAACAGTCGATTATATGTTTGTCTGCAAACTTCATATCTACCGACACATTATTCCCTTGTTAATAAAGCTAAACCACCACTCCATCCAATAGGATCCACCGTGATAACCCTTTCATACCCTAACCAAGTTTGAAGATCCACCACTCCATTCCTACACTTCTTAGTCTCCATTAGGAACATAATCTTAGGGAAATGTTTTTAACCCATTTCCTTGAGGCGAGGAATTGTCAAGTCTTGTGCCTGTCCCAAGCCTTGACAATTCCAGCTCAGAATGCTCATTAAGGAGTCGGCAGTCCCTCAGTTAGGACCACCTCTGTGTCATTACGCCTTGAAATTTTTGACACTACCACCTCTTCCTCAACAGCCTTCCTTTTCTGCGGAGATACTCCAATTGTGTCTCCCACACTCTTTCTTGGCGTGCCATCGGTTTTAGCTTTTGTTCCTCTGATTCGTGTGGTTCGATCGATGGAGTGATCTTCCTTTTATCCGTCGGTTTCCTAGTTCTCACTCCAGATGAGCTTGCATCCGAAGAACCAGTTTCAAAACCCACTGAACAAGTCCTGAAAACAGAGTTCTCAGATTCAAAGTTTTCTGCTGCTCTCTCCGAAAGTGTGGTCTCACCATTTGGGATTCTCCTCATCGCAATACCAGTATTTATTACAGACGCCATTAGCTTTTCTCCAGTCTTATTTGCCTTCGACTCTCCATTGCTTTTCTGTTCCGATCCCACTGTGTACACTGGACCTTTTCCTTTGTCAACATTGCGAGATATCACTAGTGCATGTTCAAGCCTTAACACCAAATTTTGATTGCGACTGTCATTATTTAAGCTTTGAATAGAAGTCCACACTTTTTCCATCGCACTTTCCTCTATGTGCCTTCTGATGCAAGGAGATACAGCCTCATTTCTTGAAGGACTTCCGGATTAATCTTCAGACGACCCGAGTTTGGATCCACACCAACTTGATCCTCACTCAAAACGCCAAAGATTGGATCACTTTCCTTCAGGATCGGCTCAACACTCTGTTTGTCCTCAATAACACTCTTTCTTCGAGCCTCTGCCTTGTCTCTTCTCATCTTAATGAGCAACGGGCATTTATCCTTCTCATGAGTCAGGCGTTGGCAATTATAGCATCTTTTCTGTATCCTTTCAAAGCCGTACCAAACCGTAGTGGTTCCCCCATCGGGAAGAATCACAACCTTTGATCTTCACAGGCTTTGATACATCAAAGTTAACCTTGACACGCACGTAATCTCTGCTTTGTGGTTTCTCAGGATCAAAATCAATCTCCTCCACCTTACTGATGATGTCCTCCAGATCATAGATGCTTCCGTATAATAGTTGACCGGGATGTTGCGATTCCGAATCCACACTGGCATAAACTTCATGTAGTTCTCCGGTGGCTTTTCCACCCATCGATCTATCACAATAGACCACTCATTGAAAGTCCATACCCTTTTCTTCAAAACCTCCTCCAAATCATGTTCATACTTGAAGATGAACTGAAAGCGTTCACTAGAGAGAGCTACACCTCTCACTCGATCATACATTTACCACTTCTGAGGCATATCCAAGATGAGATCAGCCATATTCGGACACTCCGAGTTCAAAGTCCTCCCCATGATACTCATCATGTTTTTCTCACATGAGCAGTACTTAGGTAGATTAGGCAGAACAAACGGGACGTCCTCCTCTTCCTCTAAGGACAACGACATTAGCACCTTGTCAATATTCGCCATGAGAGCTGTATCGTAGTACTTTGGAACAAGCAAGTTTGAAATAGGGTTCTTGAGGTTTGAGATGGTGAGCACACTCTCAAAACTGAATAAAACCCCTAGCAAAACAGAAAGATTTTCACAAGATTCACCATTTTTATGTTATTCCTCACGATTTTGAAAAACAATAGGAAAAAAATCCAGCCTAAAGCCCCACTTTTCTAAATGCTAAAGACTCTAAATGGTTTAGAAAGTCCTAAGCGAAAGGGAGAGTTCTTAGCCTGTGATGATATAATCATTTTGTTAGTAAAATTATTAAAACATTTTTTTTAGGAACTTCAAAATGCCTTTAATTTTTTTACCTTCTGAAAGTTTTAAAATACCACAAAATCTATGTTTAATTGTTTATGAATTCCTCCTGAAATTCTAGGTATGGAAAATAACATAAATCTCATGAGAACATTTGTTTTGTTTTGTGGTATTCTAGGAACTTTTTTGGATATTTTTGAAAGTTAGATTTGTTTAGTCATTGTTTAGTATTTTTCTTGAATATTGAAACAGGAAAGAACAATTTAGTGAATTTTTTTCCATTGACATACATTATATTCAGAGAATGAGAAGTAATTGTGACATTGCTATTCTCAGACATAAAAACAAAAGAACAAGGAGGTTTAAGAGGGAGAGATCAAATGTTGTGAAATTTGTCATGAGCTCTTCTCTTCCAATGAGATCTGTAACTCTAAATCCTCATTTCCTCTCTTGATCTTGAGTTTCACCTCATCACCCACACTATACTCATCCAATATCTTCATCAACTCAGCTTTGTTCCTCACCTGATCAAACCACATAATCTTAGTTAAATCCTTAAGATAGATATGTGATAAAAACAAAAAGGAAGGTTTCAAGGACAAATAAACTTCAAAATAATTGTCTTGTTGTTATGTAAAAGGTTCATGGAGCTTACGGGTTTGTCATCAACTGCAACAATGATATCTCCGAGTACTATATTACCAGCAAAACCCCGAGATGTCGGAAGCAATCCTGCTTTCTCTGCGAGACTGTTTCCCGGTACCTGCATTCACAATCATCATTATCAGAAAAAGAAAGAACTGTTTGGTTTCTGAGGTTTAAGAGTATGAAATTGTTTACATACCTGAAGTACAAGAGCTCCATTACGAACATTGAGTTGATTAGCTACTGAATCCGGGGCTAATTCTATGTTTATACCAGCTCGAAGGACCTGACATGTTGGATTTAGTAACAACATCAAAAGAAATTCCATAAAAGGATGGATTACGAACACAAAGCAATGGATTTTGTGTGTGCTTACTTTGCTGAACTGGATTAGTTGAGGAACAATCTTCATTACAGTTGATGACGGGATTGCAAACCCCACACCAGCAGATGTTCCTATTCAAGCCAAGAGTGAGTTTCACTTTCACATGGACATTTTCGATAATGAGTCACTGAAAATTTACCTGTCTGTGTGAATATGGCCGTGTTGATCCCAACTAAGTTCCCTTTTGAATCGAGCAGAGGACCTCCACTGCAATATATAATACAGAAAGATCCATTAAACAAACACACACAAGAAATGTTTTCACAAGAAAATATCGTCTCCTCTTGTATGAGTTCATAGACACACCTATTTCCCGGGTTAATGGCTGCATCGGTTTGGATTCCACCACCAATTGTAACACCAGTTTGGCTAAAAATGTCCCGGTTAAGACCGCTGATGACACCAACCGTAAGTGTGTGGTCAAAACCAAAGGGGTTTCCAATTGCTAAACATTGCTGACCAACTTTGAGAGAGTTTGATTGTCCAACTCTAATCGGTTTCAGGAGAGCTTCAGGTGCTTCAACCTATATAAGCAGTAGTGTTCTATGAATTCCGTAGAAAAATATTACCAAACATGTATTTATTTATACCTTCAAGACAGCAAGATCCTTAGTACGATCAGCACCAACAAGTTTTCCTTCAAAATTCTTCTGTACCCTTCAAGATTTGCACAAACGAGCAGACATGAGACACAACTAGAGAGACCATAAACGGCTGAAATAATTCACCGTTGTAGAAAAGCTCTCACCCATCATATGTCAGAATATTCACACGACCAACCACATCCCCGGGGCTTGGATTTCTTGAAAGAGCATTGCCAATAACTGTTCAACAGAAGATCCAACTAACATTACAATAATATCCTTCGTCTGCAACTTAAGCTCATCTCAAGCATTTGTACAATCAGACTCAGTCATGGTTCTTACCGTGATAATTGGTCACAATGTATCCTTGTTCATCCCAAACTACTCCAGAGCCATTCCCTTCAGGTATCTAAAATTGAATTTCAGAGAAATTGTAAGTCAAACAATCAACAACAACTTAAAAAAGAGACTTTGTTTTTACTATTGAGAACATTACTTCAACTACACCCGTCATTTTGAGCTGAGGCCGTAACGTCACATCAAATATGTTGACAACGGAATAAGTATTATTCTCAAATAGTTGGACAATTCTCCCCTGAATTAGAGTGAAAAGATACATATGAATCTTAGTGTAACCATCAAAACCTGAAACTTCGATTACCATTTATCCTCGTCAAGGAAACTAACCTCAGTAGGGAAAAGAGGTCCAGCGGGAAAAACAGATGGACTAACATCTTCAAGTGTAGTAACAGATGGATCGCCAAGTGCTAGAGCTGCAGTTCATCACACCACATACTCATTAACCGAATTATATTATCACTACGAATCGATGAAACCCATCTCATTATAAGCAGAAGGAAAGAAAAGACCAGATCAGATCATGAATGTTCTCTACTAGATCAGCAAAATCTAGAGATATGGTTTGGTAGTTCAAAACTCTTACTAATTAGAGCTATACTAGTTAAGAATTAAAATGCTATGATCAGAACAATTCAGCTTCTCATTACAGATTTTGATCCATCAAATTGTTGAAAAAAACAAAGCTTTAGAAAATGACGTATAGCTGAACAAGGTGCAGACCTGATAAGTACCTTGAAGGATTATAGCACAAATTCATGAATATACTTGTCAACAAGATTCGCCTTGTAGTCGAAGGAACACTTTTCATGGCTAACTCATGCAGATTCGACTTCCAATCTCGACCAATCCTAACGAAACACAAACAACCAAAAGCTACATGAACATCAAATCACCAAGTAAATCCTCTGTAAACAAGTTTCACAGTAGAAAGAAACACACTAATGAATGGATGTTCCAAGTTTCAAACTGAGCATTTTTTCAGTAACTTAGAGAAACAAAATTTCATAATCTTTTAAAGAACCCAAATCAAAAGGAACACTTTTTCAGGGGACAACAGAACCAAAATGCAGAGATATCAAGCCCAATTGGCTGTCGAAGAAGCAAATGGGGAAAATTCATAATCTTTTAAGGAACCCAAATCAAAAGTAACGATTTTTCAAGGAGCAACAGAACCAAAATGCTTACTTTACTGAAGAAACTGGTCGTTCTGGAACGACGTCGCCTTGGGAAATTCTGGAACATGCGGAGGAGAGAAGCTGTCGTCGACCAACAAAATCATTCTCGCGTGATGTGATCGGAATAGGTTTCAAAGAGCAGGACGTAACCACCTGCATCTTTGCCACAAATTTCAGGATATTCTGAGACCAATCGATCTGACAAAGCCAGGATAAAAAATCTCAGATTTTTTTTGTAGCTGAGGAAGAAGGAGCTAGTTAAAATATCGTAATTGCCCCTCTCTACTAAAGAAGTGTCGTCTTCTGACTCAATTTTCACATTAATCTTGAATTGTTATAATCCGTTAAACTGCTATTTATAGTTTGACGATCGATATAATCGTTCAATTAGTTTTTGTAGCTGAGTTTGGTTTATCTGAGTAGTCCAATATTGAGTCTTCTGTTGGGAAAAAAAAACCTTAACAAATCTTGGAACTTTAAATTGAATTGACAATTCCCAACAAAAATGGAGAACCTTGTTCACTATCCCAACCAAAATGATTAAGAATCATAGAAGACGAATTTCTTAGAACACAGTCCTTACTTTAAGCTAATGAAGACTTCAAAAACGCATTTCTTCTTGACTTTTTTTTTTCACTTGGAAGCTTCAGCTGACTCGGTTTTTTGGACTTGTACAGGGCACTGAGATACATATGGTTTCAGCTGTAAAATCATATTAAAAAATATTACAATCAGCAAAGCTAAATCACTCAACAAACTTAATGCATTTTAGTAAGCATTCCATTTCCAGGTTCCTAACGTAGCTTCGACCAATAGAAGAAGATTTTTCGAGGGGTTCTCATGTTTCACTTGTGCTACATAAAGAAATTATAGGAGAGAGGAACAAAAGAGTTTCTGAAAAACCTTAAAGCCGGTCAGATCAGGGATTACGTAGTTTGGCAATTTATCTGGCTGCACAACATATCCTCCTGCAATCCAAACAATTTCACAAACATAAGAGAAAGGTTAATAAAAATGAAGTTCATGATCAACTTCTGCCAAATTTGAGTTACAAAGTTGCTAGCTTTCCACAACGAATCAGTTATCATAAAGACAAGTAGATTAATTCCTGAAAGCTGATAATAGCTCTCTTTAGGTTGTATATGTCTATTTCAAACAACTTGACATTAACACCACCAAGAATTATCAACTACCAAGAACAAGATTCGATTATCAACTACCTAAAGAATCCGGTATCTTAAAACGCGTAGGTTCCTGAAACTTAACTGATAATAGAACGGTGCAGTTCTATGATGATCAATCTTTGCCAAACTGAGTTATAAAGTTGTAAGCTTTCAACCTAAAGAATCTGGTTATCTGGAAGCCATTGTAAACTCCTGAAACTTAGCTGATAACAGAATTGTGCAACTCTATGATGATCAATCTTTGCCAAAACTGAGTTATAAAGTTGTTAACTTTCCTACCTAAAGAATTTTGTTATCTTAAAGCTATTGTAAATTCCTGAAACTTAGCTGATAACAGAATTGCATCTTTGCCAAAAACTGAGTTATAAAGTTGTTAGCTTTTTTCCCATCTAAAGAATCTGGTTTATCTTAAAGCCATTGTAAATTGCTAAAGCCTAGCTGATAATAGCTCTAATTCAAAACAACTTGGCATTTAACAGCAAGAACAAAACATTCAATCATCAACTACTAAAACAAGTGTTCACCAATTGTTTCCAGTTATCAATTTGACCCAGAAATGAATTGAATTGTGAGTTTGGATGATGAAGTAGAAACCTTTTCTGGTGTGGAAACCAGTAGGTTTGCAGTTTTTGCCCTTGTAGAAGTCTCTGGGAGCTCGTTTGGGGGAGAGAATATCGAGCGAAGAAGCTCTCTTTCTTCGGAATGTTCTTCCGATCCCCAATAACAACCCTAGCGTCATCCCTCCAAATCTATCAATCTGAGAAAGAAATATATAATGTGAATGAACAGCGAGCGATCTGTGAAATTACCCCATGAAGGAAGCCTGAGATAAGAAGAAAGAGGTAAAGGAGAGAGAGAGAGAGTGATGCATACCTGAGTAAAATATCTCCGAGAGAGGTAAGAGAGAGCACGATGATAGGAGAAAGCGAGAGAGGCGAAAATTGGTCGCCTGAGTAGGGATTTTTAATTACACAAGTGTGACTGTGAGTGAGGTAATGAGGTTGAAGGCAACGTGAAACGAAGTCGTTTGGTGAAACGATGTCGTTTTAGTGTTATATTTGTGGACAGTTAATTTTTTTTTCTTTTTCTTTTTGACAATATTTGTGGACAGATTAATTTCGGTTTCCATGCATTTACAATTTTTTTGTAACTAAATTTATAATTTTTATGTGTATTTCCTAAGATCCCATGATATTAGAATTAGCCCCCAAGAAAGTATGAGTTGTGTATAATAAAAAGCCTAAACTAATTCATAGATTCTACATCAAAGGCGCAAATACTTCAACCACAATCCTAATTTACTATCAAGAAGTATGAAGTACTTTGACAAGAAGTATGAAGTAGAGCACAAAATACTTTATCCACATCGGATAGATCTTTATTCTAATTGAATTTGTTTATCCTCGCCTGGCAAGAAAAGCATTGAAACCAATGACTAATTTCTTATGTCTTTATAAGCAGCTCTTACCTCAAAATCAAAGTATCTACGTCAATCTTGCAGAGTCCGAAAACAAAATTTTGACAAGTCAAATTACATCAAATGTTTTTTTCTCCACAAACCAAAGTTCCTTTGATATAATATACATTCCCAACCTTTCATGTTGATATCTATCAACATCTGGCAAATATCGCATACTTTCCAACTTTGCTTGCAAATGCTTTCTTGAATTCTTTCATATAGCTTATAGGATATATATCTTTCTAAGAAATTTTTTCTTTTTCTATTATGTGATTTTTTATATATAGTTATATATACGTTTTTTTATTAAAGTTATACGTTTTTTTATTAGAATAATTAATGTTATTCCTCAGCATATTTGGTACATTTTTCCTATTCTTCTCAAACAAAATCCCACACTAGGATCAGAAACATATCTTACTTTGGTCAAGCTCAAGCTATGGCTCTATTAAGTTTGATAAGTTTCTAACGACGAAATCAATAGGTAATGAGTCGATTGGCCAGTTACCTTATATAGTAATTACTTAGATTTCGTCTCAACTTCTAATGTAAAAGTCCTAACATAATTGTCTTCTGAATTTTCCTTCATATTAGGGAATCCAGAATGGAAAAAAGTCACAACAGCATGAAGCAATACTGTGAAATCAGAAGCAATGATGAAAGAATTAACTGTGTTATAGTTTCTTTAACCCAAAAAAAAAAATTACTACATGAGATAAACATTTGTAGTGAGCACAATGCACAAAGCATAGTCAAATTCAACCGAATTAGCCATTATGTTTTTGTATAACATTTGTAGTGAGCACAATGCACAAAGCACAGTCAAATTCAACCTAATTAGCCATTATATTTTTGTTTAACATTTGTAGTGAGCACAATGCACAAACAAATTCAACCCTAAACCATTAGATTTTTTTTTGTACTATGCATACACTTGGACTTTCACGGCATTAATAAATATTTCAAAATGATGGTTGATAGATTTAATGTTTCACATATAAAGAGAAATAGAAAGCTTAGGTTAAAAGCTATTGACCAAACTTCTAAACTTGAGTTGCGTGGGTTAAAAAACCCATGCCTTTATTTTGGACTTTTCTCATCTCTAGTTTTTATTTTTCATTTTGTTTTAATTTTTTTTACCACGAAATCTTCATTTCTACATTATGGTTTTACGTGTCTCAGACTTGGAGACATTTATAGCAAGCTTAAGCAATGCATTCGATTTTACCAATGCCTAATTTGACTTACCTTGGAATTTTTTTAACAGGAGATTCAAACCTTTGCTACGCACCAAAACTTTCAAATTTCAATCTTTTGAAGACTTATCGACTTATAGTTAAAGATGTAGAAAAAGATTCTACTCTAAAAGTTTCTATCCTATTGATTACTAAAAGTATGCTGCTGAAAGTATGATCATTTATCATCTCTTTGTAGATTTTTTTCGAAAGTTTCTACTCGTAGTCTTCGTTTCAAGAAGTACACGGACCACGGTAACTTTGAAGTTTGAATCACTCCCCAAATTTAAGTAAAAATATATATAAACATGAAAAACGAAGTTCAAGAAACATACATCATATTTTTCTTGCAAAACCCTCCACATCTTCTAGAGACATTGGTCGTAAACCAACGCATCACTTTCCGGTCCAATTATCGTTTCCCCATGAACACATTTCTTCTTCTCTAAGAAACTTCTTCCATTCTTCTCCAAATTCTCTCTCTCTCTCTCTCTCTCTCTCTCTCTCTCTCTCTCTCTCTCTCTCTCTCTCTCTCTCTCTCTCTCTCTCTCTCTCTCTCTCTCTCTCTCTCTCTCTCTCTCTCTCTCTCTATTTCTATAAATCTTTCCGTTTCTCTTCATTCTCTTTTGGTCAGTTTAATTCTTAATCACACAAGTATTAGTTCTTATGGTTTTAGTTATGGATCATGAAGAGAGTAACAACGTAGAAAGGTTCGACGACGTAGTTTTGCCAGGGTTTAGGTTTCATCCTACAGATGAAGAACTCGTAAGTTTCTACCTGAAACGGAAGGTTCTACACAAATCTCTTCCCTTTGAACTCATCAAGAAAGTTGACATTTACAAATACGATCCATGGGACCTCCCAAGTAAGCCCTACAAATTTTTCATTTTCTTTAAATCTATGGAAAACAATTTTTGATTTTGCATTTTCTTGAATCAAATGTTTAAAAAGAGCTTGCGGCCATGGGGGAGAAAGAGTGGTACTTTTACTGTCCAAGAGACAGGAAATACCGAAACAGCACGAGACCTAACCGAGTAACCGGAGGTGGATTCTGGAAAGCAACCGGAACAGACCGACCTATATACTCATCAGACTCGACCCGGTGCATCGGGTTAAAGAAGTCACTTGTGTTCTACCGTGGCCGAGCTGCTAAAGGAGTCAAAACCGATTGGATGATGCATGAATTCCGTCTCCCTTCTCCTTCTGACTCTCATAACTCATCATATCCTCACTACAATAACAAGAAGCAACACCATAACAACAACAATAAAGAGATTCCTTCAAGCGTAAGTAATCGTATTTGCCCTAACTTGCTTGACACGCAGGAAAAGTTCAAACCTTAAACCAGGGTTTATGTTTATGTTACCAGATATCTAATATAGATCAATTTGGTGTATAATTAGCTTTTAATTAAGACGAGAATTTCTTTTGTAGGATGCGTGGGCGATTTGCAGAATATTCAAGAAGACGAACTCGGTATCATCACAAAGATCAATCCCACAATCTTGGCTTTATCCGGCGAATCCTGTGGCCAACCAATACAATTTACAGTCTCAAACCGCACATCTCTTAGCTTCAACAGATGTCCTCAGCCACATAGCAACAAGGCAAAACCTTAGCTCTCCTCCAGTCGATGAACCCACAAGCTTCACCGAATCAGTCACTGCTTATTTCGCGTCTCAGATGCTCGGAGTTCCGTACACACAACTAGAAACAACGGAACAGGGGATGCTCTGTTTCTGAGCAGCAACGAGAGTAACTACTTCAATAACTTGGCCAGAGCATTGACTAATGAGCTTCCGAATGTAAGATCAATGGTGGAGTCTGGTTTCGAGATGACGTCGTATTCCACTAACAATTAAGTGTACTTATTAACACTTGAATTAGTGTAGGACATCGCTAATATGTATTAATTCTAATTATCTTATCAATATTGCTTTATATTTGGTTTTTTGGAGACCAAAAAGAGAAAAATAACTTTAAGACTTGTTTTGTTTCGTTTAGCTTTCTGCCTTTTGAAGTTACATAATCTCGGACAATGTAACTTCTATTTATTTATTGTTTCTTTTGTTAAAGACTTTTGCTTCTTCTTTTTTTATGTTTAACTAGATTATGTGCGGGTTTATGATATAACCCAAGTAAAAAAAACTAAAATGAAAAAGTACAAAAAACACTAAAATATCTTGTGGAGCTAAATTATACTACTATAAGATTTGGACTGCTGCTGACGTTAAACCACCTACTGATAAACCTAATAGTCAATTATTCATTTTGATTCTCTTAGATATAGTTTTACAAAATGTCATTGGATATAAAGTGCTACAATAATAGGAAATTCATTCCTATGAGCTTATTATCTTTCGTTTAATTTCACTTATTTCACTTATTGTAAAAACGATAAAAACGCTTATTTCAACATCAGGTTCTAAATTGACACAATTTCTTGTGATGTAAGGACAACATATCAGTGCTCACTGAAAAGTATATATAATATATCTTATTTAAGCTTTGAATTTTTCTTTATGTAGCAATTAATAATATGTTGTACAATATATGCACGCTATTTGAAAATAGAAAATGACGATATAGATTGCATATATCTACCATATACAGAGCAATGATGTGGAATTCTTTATTCTAACCATATCTACTTATTTATTGAGTCCAATTGTGCCTCATTTCGGGTGTATTGTTACCATAGACAATATACAATAGAAATTTAGCTTGGAAGCATCATTCACCTAATTTAATTTCATGGTTTATATAAGCTTTCCAATAGGCATTACACAATGGGAATTTGTCTTAGAAAGCATCATATACCCCAACCTAATCTCATGATCTATGTATTGTTTCCAATAGGCATTACACAATGTGATTTGACAATATTCATATTCCAAATTTGTGTTATATTATAAATGTTTGATGGTTTATAATTTAAGTATTTTCATGACTGCAAAATCTACACTTCAACAGAAACAATAAACCATAAGCCTTGTAATGCAATTTGAATTGTACCATAAATCCAAAAGGAATCATGGTTTTCTACTAGGATATTAGAGCATTCTCATCGTTTATCAGTGAATTCTAAACCGAATATCTTATTTTTATATAAAAAAAATAAAAAATAAAAAAAGAATGAGAAAGAGAAAACCGTTTCTCATTTGAGAAATTATGAAATACTTTTCAGATACCCAAAATATATCTATGTTTTTTTATTAATTTAGTTTTTTAACAAAAACTAAAGTTTATTCAAATAATTATATTATATTAAAATATTAATATTTTAATTTTGAAAACCTTATTTTGAAGATCTAACCGATCGATGGAGATGCGCTTAGTCTTCACCCACTTTCACCATACAAATTTGAGGTCACGTTTGTCTACAAGTGTCACTTTTTTTTTTACAATATAAATTTTGAGGTCTTACTTTATTATGAGATTATATAGGTGAGGTCTCATGTTGGAGTCGTATTTGACTGTCTTCACATTGTCAGACTACTCCTGAAGAAAACAAGACAATATTATTGATGATGATTTTCACAGAGCAATGTGTTAATGACAATTTAAAAAAAAATAGTTTTGATAGGTATAGGCTCATTTTTGTCAGTGTTCCTCCCTGACTCTTAGGGCTTGATTGGCAGAGCATATTAATAAGCATAATGCTTTATAAACTGCCAATCATATTTAAGTCAAAAGCAGAAAGAAGAGCATTTTGAGCTTCTAAATGCTCGATACCCCAATGCTTTGCTTTTTCAAAGCATAAAGCCTTTTAAATTTAAAAAAGTCAGTATTATCCTTAATTTTTTAATTAATATCTGCATATGCCATTAAGAATCAACTATAAATACATAGTTTTATCTTAACCTAAACCTAAAATTTTAGGTCGCAGAGCAAAGAAGCATCGGTTAGTAGAAAAAAACTTTTGATTCATTTCTTATACGACCATGTTTATTCTTATTGCTGGGTTAGTAGAAAAAACTTTTGATTCATCCTTGGTTAAATTTTACGTCACAGAGCACAGATTGTTTTTAGTTTCAGGATTTCTCTTATTCCTTTAAATTTTTGATTAGTTTCATATTTATATCTAATATAAATACTATTTATGATCTTATAAACAGCTTAAAAACATGTCGAATGAAGAACAACATGTGCAACCAACGACCAAGGTATGAATTACGTAACCTGTTGACTTTTTGTTTGTTTATTCTATTGCTTGAAATTTTAAGTGGCGTTATTTTATTTTGGGGTCGATTTAGCCAAGGTTTATTTGGACTCATGAAATGAGTCATCAGATGCTAGTGTTAGCCAATGGTGAGAAAGATAAAGGATACTGGAGAGGTACATGTTTTACTGAAATGGGAAGACAAAACATACGAGCTGGATTTCTAAAACGGTTTGCTATCGATTTTCAATGGAAAAAGTTTAAAAGTCGGTTGGAGGTCAACGACTGTTGGCTTATTTGTCAAAAAAAAATATCACCCAAGTTCGGGTCCATAAGCAGTGACAATTGCATAAGAAAACAGTACGACCTTTATAGACGTGTCACAAAGAGCTCTACGAGGTTGGGATTCAATGAGTTTGGAGAATTAGACATGAGCAATGACTGGTGGGATCAACTAATTAAGGTAATTCCACTAAGAAAATGACAATATACAGTTTTTTAAAGTTTTTACAAACATAATTTCATTCATAATGGATTTTATTTTCTACTATTGTTGCAGGCTTGTCCAGAAGCCACAAAAGTTCGCCAATATCCTTTGCGTGATATTCCACTCCTTGATTATTTATACAGCAAAGTTACAATATCGGTAAGTGAAGGATGGCAACACCAGAATGGACCAAGTCAATTGCCTCAAGATATAGAACTTGAAGAAGAAGAAATTGAAGAGATGTCACCACCCATCGTCCGTACGTCTGAAGTCAATCAAAAGATACAAAAAGCACATGTTTCTAGCAAGTCTCAAGAGAGACCTACCAAATCAAGATCTTCACGGAAAAGACCTCACCCCGAACATTGGGATCGTATCACCACTACCTTAGAAAATCAAGAGAAGTTTTGGTCTGCAGGTCGGAAATCATTTGATTCCTTTAACCCATTTAGCAGCGCCATATGCACCGAAGAGTTGCTAAAGATGTCTACACTAGATCTTGATGGCGAATTGTACTGGAGTGCTCTTGATCACCTAGCTGGAAACGAGAATAGCCGTCAGATTTTTATGACTTTACTGAGATTAAGTATCTGGAAAGGATCACAGGAAAGACGAACTAGGCTACTATAGTTTTTGATGATAGATTTTAGTTTGGGGTTTTTTAGTTTGAACGATAGTTTCAGTTGTTTATGGCATTCATTGAACTCCACTTATGTTTGCCTTTGCTTTAATAGATTTTTTTTTATTATTATATTATGAATTAGCTGTCTTTTTTTAACATAAGTTTCTAGACAAAAGGATCATCTAACTTCATATATCTAATACGTTTTTTTTTTAATTATAGGAAGTAGCAATGGTTTTTCATCAAAATATGGTTGCTGTGGTTCGCTTAATGGTTGAAGCTGAACGACAAGATCCATATTGTGATAGGCAATTGATGAGAACAGATCGAGGTCGTGGATTCCGTCATACTATGCAAATGATTACTGGTTCTGGTAGAGAATGCTATGAAACCGTGCGAATGAATCAAGAAACCTTTATAAAGTTATGTGATACTCTGAAGAATGATTATCACCTTAAAGAGTCACGTGAATGCACCGTACAAGAGGCTGTGGCAATGTTTTTAGAGACACTTGGGCATGATGAAGTACAACGACAAATTGCAAAAAATTTCCAACGTAGCCAAGAAAAGGTACACAGGAAATTTATGGAAGTATTAGATGCTGTCCTTCTTTTATCGAAGGATATTTTAAAGCCTCAGCCAGAAGAGTTTATACAGGTTAATAATCGTTTAGTCAGTGATAATAGATATTGGCCTTTCTTTAGTGGTTGCATTGGAGCTCTTGACAGCACACATGTGCCAGTACGAGTTAGAAATGATCAAAAAGAGAGATATTGGAATGCCAGACAGCAGTTCACCTCGATGAATGTTCTGGCCATTTGCAACTTGGATATGAAATTCATATATGCATATGTTGGAACTCCAGGAAGAGCACACGATACAAAAGTTCTCACATATTGTGCACAACCAGTGGTGGCTTTATCCACGACAGAAGCTGAATACATTGCACTTCATGAAGCTGCAAAAGAGTCCATTTGGATAAAAGGCTTACTGCAGGATATGGGATTCGAACGGAAAAGGGAAGTAATTTGGTGTGATTCACAGTCTGCTATTTGCTTGTCGAAAAACAACATGTATCATGAGAGGACAAAGCATGTAGCAGTAAAGTATAATTACATCAGGGACGTGTCGGAATCAGGAGAGGTTGAGGTTCTGAAGATCCACACTTCAAAGAACCCTGCGGATATTCTAACAAAGTCTGTCCCATTTGCTAAATTCAGGTCAGCTTTAGATATTCTAAGGTTGATCGGCTGAGTGATGAATGTCATCAGTTGCCAGAGGTTAAACTCAAAGTAAAGGCAGTTCACTACTGAGAGTGAGAAGGAGAAACTTGAATCAAGGTGGAGATTATTGAGGAATGCTTCTGATTCAAATTTCTGGTCCGATATTGGTTTGATGTTGAACCGGAGGTGATTGAAGCTGGTTCTGCGGTTTGCAGAGGTTTACCAAGAAATGAGGATTTGGATGTTTGAAGACTCTAAGCGATTAAGAGGCTTTCACTTTGAGAGTGTATAAAAGGAAACTCTCCTCTTCTTCTTCTTTCTTGGCCGAAAGTGTACTCGTTTATGTTCATCTTGAAACTTGTACGTTGCTCATAGTTCTTGAGCTGTAATATCGTTCTCAGATAGTGGATTGTCAGAGTTGATCTGGCCCCGGACGTAGGTCTAATCACACCGATTAGATTGAACCGGGTAAACAATTGTGTGTCGTTCTTTTGTTGCTCTGTTTCTTTTATTTCTGTGACAAACGAGAGTTACAGAGTGAGAGAGAGTGAGTTAAACCTCTATAGATCCTAACAGTTATGAACCCACAGGAGATGCATATATGTCAGGAATCCGAAATACTATTGCGGAAAGTATTTGGAACGTTTTTCATTGGTTGCTTAAATCAAGTAATTTGTTGCTGTTTTATTTTTTTTGAATGTTCTTCTACTTATGTTTTGGATGGTTATTTTTTTAAGAACTAAAAAGTTACTCATAAACATGTTACTTTATGGTGAGATCTATGTTGAATACGTCTTTTTGTTATTGCCTTGTGTTATTTTGCTGGGTTTTTTGGGTCAAAGTTTGTTAACTTAAACTACACGTTCTTTTAGTTGTTTTTGTCATGGAACTTTTTTTGTCAATTAGATTACACGATGAAATCATGTATATAACTATGTCTATTTTTGTAATTTTAGATTTAAGTGCTCACAGCTTTACCAATCATATTCATCAAATTAATATCTAATAGCTTCCAGCTTTAATAAGTCACTGCTTCTGTTCCTTACTGCTACAGCTCTATAACATGCACTGCCAATCAAGCTCTTATTCTTGTCATTGCTGAAATAATAATAATTGAAAACTATTCCCGTCTCAAAATGAAAGGAAACCTTGTTTCACAAATATATAAGCAAAGGATTATGACTTGTTATAATTTTGTCTCGATTATATGATTAGCCATCTGAGTAATAATTAGCTTTGTTTCATTACACAAACCACTCTTATACTAGATTTTCATAAGCACCATATAAAAATACCAATTTTCAACCACAAATTGCAATTTAGCAATACATATACCTTAAGTCCTTAACACTATTTAGAAACTCTTCCATGTAAATCATATTTCAAAGATTGCTTTGTTCAGATGATTAAGTACTTTCAAATGACATAACAGATGCATCATAACTATCAAAACCTCTTCTGATGTATCAATACTATCCAAGCTTAGATAGATTTTGTCTTCATGAGGACAAACCAATTATTTTATAAACATAGTTTGCAAAATAAGTCCCCGTAGGCCAATAAAATGAAAAGATGAGGACTAAACTTGTAATATTATTACCCACGATTTCCATATACTGTAGCTTCTTCAGCGTTCTTCATACAGAAAGATTATCAATTAATGCGTAAGTCGAACAAAAAAATTATTTTTAAATTTCTCGACTTTTGTTCTTCTTCACATTATCCATCCATCTGTTTCTCCAATATCAGTCTCTTTTATCTCTACAATTGTTCTTTCTTGCTACAGTATGAAGCATTTCTGTTCAATTCAAGGTAAGTTTCATTCTTCTTCTTTTTCTTCTTCCTATTTCCCAATCTGCTAGTTTCTGTAATTGAATAAACGAGCCCTAACTTATTTCTGTAAATTTGGGAAAAAAAATAATGAATATTCTGATGCAGGCTGTGTACCCAGAATGGAATTTGGGTGTTTAAGGTACACAAATTAATCATTTTTATTTTGATTCAAAAATTGAACCTTTTTCGACAATGATCTTGATTACTGAATAATATTTCGAATTAATTCTTCTTATGAAATAGACATTGTCTTGAGCAAAATCTCAGTCTTTCTTGGAACTTAAAGGCATGGAATTTGGGAGGTTTGACCACAATTTCACATTTCCAGAGACTTGCTTATCCTATTGCGTCAGCTTCTACTCAAAAGTATTACAAGAACAGTTTGCTCTTGAAGAGATTTTTAGTTGGTGTTGGCACAGAGGAATCCTCGTTGTCGGAAGATTCACTTGACGACTCTGTTTCTCGACCTCTCAGTAGTGACGAGGTTTTAAGCTTTATGTTCTTTCTCTTGTTGTAGCTAAGCATATTCTCTGGTGATGAAGGAACTAACTAACAAAAACACTCCTTTTCTTGGTTTTGTAGTTGAAGTCATTGCTTATCGACAACGAGAGATCGAAGCTTGTTAAGAAACTGAGTGAAGCTAATCAACATAACCGGTTCCTCAAGCGTCAGGTTGCTCGTGTTATATACAATTTTGCTTGATGAATTCAGTTCTCCATTCTCATACTCTTGATGATGAGTTACTTGCATACTCTTAAATACACTTCTCCATTGTTTTCACGGGTATGTGCTTGATGATGTAGAGTTTTTTTAATAGGCATTCTTCAAGATATCTTAATCTTGTTTTGTGATTGAAGTTTTCAATTCTCATACTCTTGATAAAAGCGATAAAATCCTCCAAAGGTTTTCTTAAGGGAAATTCATGCTGCAGAAACAGAAGATGATGAGTTATTTGACAACTTTTGATCATCTATTTGCAGCTTAAAACACAAGAGGACGAGATAGCTAACATCAAAAGCGAGCTTGCAGTTATGGAGCTTGAAGTTCAGGTCCTTAGATCTCTATTCTTCTAGCTTCAGACTTGTGCATGTAGTGTCAAATTGTACATACATACCTACATGCACATATGTCTATAGTTGATTACATTTCATGATATTGGTCTCTTGGGAGGAGCAGGCTTTGGTAAGACTGGCGGAAGAAATAGCAAACCTCGGTATTCCACAAGGTTCTAGAAAAATCAGCGGGAAGTACATTCAATCACACCTTCTCTCTCGTTTAGAAGGTTCTTCTATTCTCCATTTAGTTTCATACATTATTCAGACTCTCTTCAAATCACTGAAACAGCAAACTTTTCTTCTTTGCTCCCTCGTAAGCTGTCGAAAAGAAACTGAAGGAACAAATCAAAGACGTTGAAGCTGCACAGTCAAAAGAGGTTCATGTGTTCTGGATCGGTATGGCAGAGGTAAACTATGCTTTAACATTTTGAAAGGTTCTTACATTTTATTTGATGAATTTGAAATTCTGAGGTTAGAGTGTGACAATCTTCATGTAAGAGTGTCCAAGTGATGGGATCATTTGATGGATGGAGCCAACGTGAGGATTTATCGCCTGAGTACACAGCTTCATTCACTAAATTCTCCACCACTTTGATCCTTCGTCCCGGGAGGTACCATTGCTTCTACTATATAATTTTCTTGCAATCAGCATCATATTATCTTGTTTCAAAACTAGTTTTGTTTTTGAATTCTTGAAATTTAAGGTATGAGATGAAGTTCTTAGTGGATGGAGAATGGCAGATCTCGCCTGAGTTTCCTACTTCCGGAGAAGGAATGATGGAGAACAATGTTTTAGTGGTGGAATAGCCACTCATCTCTCTGCAAACACACATTTAGGTAATACACCCATAAACAAATTCAGACCAGTATGGATCAGATTCTTGAAGTTTCTTGTAGGGTCTTTACTTGCTGATTTGTTATGCTCTAGTAGAATCTGAAATGTTGATACAGGGAACAGTATATATAGGTGGGAGAGAGAACACATTAAGGAGATCTTTTGGATCATTAGTGACTCTAAAACAAATACTAGACTATTTTCTTTTGGATTAATCGAGAAAGATTGTTCTATCTCTTTGAGTAATAAAGAGTGATCTGTTTTCCTCATCCTATGAGCTCCATAGAAGAATTATTTGCAACATTAGATTCATGATCCTCATTGATGGAATGTGTGAGTGACTTACAATAACATCAGGACAAAATTTGTATTTTATTGCTCTTATTGCTTTAGTTAGGCACAGGTATAAGATCTACAAGGTCAATACAGAAGAAATCTCAACAAGGGAAGAGACAAAAGGAAGGATCTAAATGTAACCTTCTATTCACAAAGCTAATCTTGGTCAACTTATTATGACACCAAACCAAGTGTTCCTTAGTCAATTTGGACATGTTCAAGACTCTTGTCACAAGCTTCATGTCCACTTGTGAGAAGAAGTGAAGCACTTGGTCTTCTGTTGAATCTTCTTCCTTGTGCTTTTGGAATCTTCTTATGATACATCTCTCACTCTTCAACACATCTTTCAATCTCTTCTCCTTCTGCAAACCACATCAATAATATGGATTAGTCAATCGTTTAAGAAGTTTTGTTTCTTACAAACAACAAACTTACATTTTGAAGTTCTGATTTAACCTCGGTGAACATCTCTAGATCTTCCGAGTCTTCTTCATGATCCGGTTCTATTTGTGACTTGGTTCGAGATTTCTGATCATGAATCGAGATTGTAAGCTTATCACACCGCACAAATCTCCAAAATAATCGAATCGTTTCCTCCATGATCTCCACAAGTTGTTCACTTTTAATCGCACATTCATCATTTTCCTCATAATCTCTTCTTCTTCCTTTCCTCTTGTCCTTGTTTCCATCTTCTGTTAACATCATCAAACACGGTTAAAAGTTCTTACCGGTTCAAAGAAGGTTTTATCCAATTTAAACCGACTTAAACCAAACACGGTTAAGTTCTTACCTCGAATAACCGGGACTTGAAGGAGATTACGGAGAACACAACGTTTCTTGATGTAATGTTGTACTCTAGGCTCTTCGAACGGTTCGTTTTCAAGAAACCTCTGAAGCAAAACCTGAAACTGTTGAAACTCTCCGGCGACTTCGTTGTACCGGCGAGATCCATAGACATCCGATTCCAGTAATTCAATGGCCTTTTCGTATTGCCAGTGAAGAATTTCCCACGACAAACACATGTGACCAACGTATACGTTCTCCAACTCTGCATGAATCTCTTTTATGAATTGAACCATTGGTTCGGTAACTGGTTTCTTTGGTTTCCATAACCGGAGATTAACCGATAAAACCGATGAAAACGAGGCCTTGGGAGGAGAGGATTCATCGGTCGAAGGGTTCTTTGATCGAAGAAGCCCTTCAAGAAAAAAAAGGCCAAGAAGAAAAAGAAACAAAATACACAAAAGAATGTGAAATTTAATTAGTAATAACTAAAGATAATTATAGAATAAAATAGGCACACAAACTTAATTAAGCAAAAGATTACTGGCCTACTAAAATTTCTAAAATCTAAAACTCAATATACAAGGATCCCACTAGCAAAAATAAGTAGTGGGGAGTGAAAAAAAAATAGGTAAAGGAGTTCCATAAGAGAGCAATGCAATAAAGAAGAAACGCAAAAGCTAACTTTGATAGCTAACCCAAAAAAAAAGACACATTTGGTGAGATAGGCAATAAAGATATGCATGTGTGCATTGGCTTAAAAAAAGAACAGAGAAAAAAAACTTGGTTAGACAAAATTTGCAAATCCCAAAACTAGCTTTATGGTTGAGGCAACATTTATCACAGAGCATCCACATTAGTATTGGGTTTGTTAGCAATTATTGGATAAAAAATAAATAAAAAATGCCAAATATATAACAAACGATCCTTGGAGAAGGATTTTAAAGAGCAATCCATACAAAGTTTGTTCAAACAGGTGTAAAGTGCTCATTGGTATTCGATTAAAAAACAATTGAGATTGGTTCTTTCTCTAAATATGGACCATAAATTGTCCACCATTTTTTCTCTCCATCAATATAATACATAAAAAAAATGAAACTTATTTTCTCTCCATCGATTTAATAAATTGTCGACCACTGTTCATTAATTAATTTAATATTCTTAAAAACTCTAAAGACGAATTGTCTAATGGACATGCTCTTATAATCTTGTCTACTTAGCTAAGAAAGGAGAACTAGATCAAAATGGCATATACAAATTAAATGACACTTGCTTAAACTGTTAAATCCAACGGCTCAATTCAATGCAATAAATGTCTATTTAGAGTAAATTCGAGTATGACACACTCAATTTGTCAAAGATACTTTCTATTACCAATATTAAAATCAACTAATAAGACATGAGTAATCAATTAAATATGGTGTGTTTGTTTGTTGACTAATTTAAAACCGACTGAAAAAAACTTAAAAAACATTTAACCTTCTTCTTCTAAATTGACAATGAACCCCCCTAACAATTTTATTCCATGTTCTTCATCAAATAATAATCGATATCTAAACACATCATTCAAGAAAACATTTATTTTGTAAAAAGTAATAATAAACCCATAAAGACAATTAAATAATGGTTAGCTTTTAGGTTTGGTGCAGTGTTCATTCCAAAACACGGAATCAAACACTAATAAGAGAAATGGAATTCTTAAACCCTATAATGACTAGATTTCGTGGGACCTATATTTTTTTGTAAAAATTCTAACTTATAAAACACTGCAAAATAAAATAAAATAATTAATCAAGGCCAGGTTATTTGACTAACACGAAAACTGAAAATAATTTATAAAATAAACAAAAGAACCAAAAAAAAAGAGGAGATTTAGAGAAAACTTACCAAGTGCATAAGACTTCTGAAAACTCAAGATGTCGAGTTTTCGCATTCTTTCTCTGTAACTTCTATGGAACTTATGAACTTCTCCAATCGTATCAACATGTTTAAATCTCTTCTCTTCTTCGATTCTCCATGGCTTTAAATCTTCCATGATCTTAGGACAATCATCTTCTTCCTCTTCACGAATTGTCGGAAGCCCACCGATTGCTTTAACCTTCTTCATCTCCATCTTGAGTTGCTCTATCAAATCCTGATGCTCCCATAAACTCTCGAACTCGTTTGTATCTTCTTCTTCTTCTTCTTCCTCTGAATCAGAAACAGAACCTGAATTTTGGTTTTTACGATTTTGTGGTTTCTCCTCCGGTGATGATTCTCCGAAATCGGAATCTGATAAAAACCCACTTTCGAATGTCTGACTCGAATCAGCAAAATCAGACTCAGTTTCAAGAAAATCTTCATCTGTTAAAAATCTGATTTTTTTCTCTGGTTTTTTCTCAAAGGAAGAAACAGAGTTATCCTCTGTTTTTTCAGCCCTAAAAGTCGCCGACTTTGAGTTTTGGAGAACAAAAGTGAGATTCTTCGCCGGAGACGGCGATTTGTGTTTGTTCGCCGCTGTGGAAATCGACTGATAAGAAGAATACAAAAAACCACTCTCGCTCTCACCGGAATCGCCGGAGCAATCCTCTGTTTTCTCTAGCTTCCTCTCCTTTAAACAATCTTCAACCCTAAAAGTCGCCGCCTTTGGGTTTTCGACAACGAAAGTGAGATTCTTCGCCGGAGACTGAGTTTCGTACTTATTCGCCGCCGTGGAAATCGCCGGAGAAGAAGAACAAGACAAAAAACTGCTCTCGCTCTCGGTCTCACCGGAATCACTCGTCGATCTGTAACCTTCTCTGCTTAGTTTCTCGAGAGTTTCCGTCTGGAAAGCGAATTTGAAAACGAATTTCGGTGATTCCTTAATCTCTTCTTCTTCATCGATTCCTGAATTTTCTGATTCGATCATTTTCACTTCTTCGATTTCAGAAAAAGATTGTGTCTTTGATGTGTCGGTTTCAGCAATTGTATCTCTTGAAGCACTGTTTGTTTTATATACAAGAAAAAAATAAGTGTAAGAAATAAAAATGGAAAAAAGTGTTTCCTTTTTTTGTTAACGCGTATATAAACAGAACAATCATAATAAAAATATCTTAAAATTGGGAATGAATTAAATTTTGGAAGTACCTGGAGAAGAAGATGAAGATTGGTTTGAGCAAAGAGAGAAAGAGAGTGAAACAAGCATGATGTGAGATCAGATTCTGTAAAACAGAAATGGAATTGATGAGAAATTTCTTAAGAAAATTAGTCATATAACGGATCATTTTTGCTCACGAGTCGTTGTTATGTCGGTCAAAAAAAAATTTCAATGAAACACTTAATTTTTAGGTTGAAAAAACTCATGCAGAAAGTGTATATTTGCAGATAAAAAGACTTTTCACCTAAAAACCAAAAGAAACGTTAGTGAAATCGAAGGGATGATGTCATGACGATGATGGTGATGCATGAATAATAATAGATTCTGAAGTGAGAACTAACAGATGAGAAATTGAAGGGAAAGGAACAAGTGAGCTAATCTTGTAATTGTAAGAAATAGAATAAAAAGAAAAATCTAAAGTGTTCTTTGAGCTAATCTTATGGTTGCTTTGAACCATGGATTTCTCCACTCTGTTATTGGATGCCACATACACATCTAATACTACTACATTAAAACGATTTTTATATTCACTAGATTTTCTTTAATTTTTTGTCTTAATTCGGAGTTTTAAATATGAATCACCCGTTTGACTTTTTCGGTATTGATGCAAGTATGCAACCTTTTCTTCTCTTCTCATTCATGTAAATTCAGTAAAATAATCTAAAAATTCTCAAAAATTCAGTAGAATAATCTTTTTTTTTCCTTTCCAAAATGAGATATTTTTATCGCTATTTGGGAACATACAATTCAGAATTAGATTCTCTTAATTTCAACCGTTCGGTTGAACTATTTAAATATTCTTCATACTATTTGTTTGTTTGGAAGATGACATCATAGCAATATAGCATTTTGTATCGTATGTCTACTATAACAAGATATCTCGCAAACTCTTGGACTTCATAATCTGTTGAACATCATCCAGAAACGGCGTACATAACAGGTTGATTAGGTTGGTAATATATTGATTCAATCATCTAAATTGCATTTTCATATTGTTCTACTGCGTAAACATACAAATGAGTTAACCATAGTCTGTAAAGTTTTTTTTATTAGCATCAGAAGTATCTGAGGAGGACAAGAGCGAAGTTAGTAAATTTTTTTAAACTGATATATTTGTAGCTATTTTTTATGTACACTCATTTTATACTTTAATTTAATCTTACTGCATCCAGTAAAATAAGATTTTGACTCCAGGGTTATAAAGTTTTTTTGATGCATTTGTTTTGGGTTGTGTTCAATGATTATAATGAATGTTGCAGCACACTTATTGAGTTCAAAAATGGAAGAATTAGGATATTCAGTCGAAGCTGCTATGCTGCAATGCAATATACAATAGAACAGGTGATACCAACTTTCCAACTTCTTTTAATTACTAAATATCATGGCATGATTCTTTTTGTTACGGAGATAGAAGACAGTCAATGTTTTTAATTTTAGAGGGAATGAAAAATTTGGTCGTCAAAACAAGAGGGAAAGTATAAATTAGCAAGATTAAGAAATTGTTAAGTGCGAAAAAATAGTCCAGTAAACAGTAAACAGTACTAAAAATTTGAGTAGTCGCCAAATTTAACACTAAACGTCACTAAAACTCTAAAATTTCACCTAATATATAAATAAAGTACTCCTAGTAAACCTAGCATCTATCACGTTTTAAAGATTAAGAAATTGTTAAATGCGGGAAAATAGTCTAGTAAACAGTATTAAAAATTTTGGGTAGTCGCCAAACTTAACACTAAACGTTACTAAAACCCTAAAATTTCACCTAATATATAAATAAAGTACTCCTAATAAACTTAACATCTATCACGTTTTACTTTTGGAGCCGTCTTTTGCTTAGGTTTTTAATTTTCCACAAAAAAAAACGATTTTAAGGTCTGTTCTATGTGTCTTTAATCCTATGTGTCTCTAATCATCGGTTTTGGCTTAAACTATTTTTAAAAATTCTTTAGGTTTGTTAGATTGCCATTTAATTGAGTTTGCTAGTTTTGGAGATCAATCAAACGTTATAACAATTGAGTTTTGGAGGTCAATTGTGTTCTGGTCGTTTTTGAGATCAAACAAACATATCTGTCAACTGAGTTTTGGAGATCAATTGTGTTTTGCTATTTAAAGTTCTCTGGTTTGTCTTTAGCTTGATTTCTTATGCTTTTTGACTTGCTCTTTGTCAATTATACATGAGGCCTCTAATCATTGTAGGTGAGCGTTTGTATGGGAGAGGATCAGCTTCCCAATCTGGTGGGGTCGAAAGACTACTTCCTCCGGCAGCCAACGCTGAACAAATTGAACAAATGGAAGAAATGGCACCTGTAGCACGTGATGTTCGAGTGCTCCACCCAGCTCGAAGGAATGGAGCCAAATTGTATTGTTTGTTTTCTTATATATACACAATCAAATATAATAAAATTTGATTAGTTTAATTACTTTAGCAACAGGTTCAAAAACAACACTGAAGTATCAACCAGAGGGAGAAAAAATATTGAAGGCTGCTTTAAGGGACCATGGTACGTAACAGCTGGAGAAAAGTGCCACAGATGCATGGTATTCAACGTTTAAGGCTTGTCTAAATTATGTATCTATTTTATATTTTAAAGTATTTTTTTACTTTCAATATCTAATATTATATGTATTCTAGACAATGTGTTGGATGTCTCAATCGAGTATCTAGTGAAAGCCAAGTTTGATGCACTTGCTGCTACTCGCATGAGAAGAATGGTTAGCCTTGCAAAGTCCAATGTAGTAAAACCAGATTGGATTTTATCAACAGATTGGTCAGTGATGTTAGCTCATTGGAGGACACTAGAAGCCAAAGAAAACAGCCAAAAAGCTCGTTCTTCTCGGCTGTTTAGCCGTGATGGTTTAGGTCCCCACCGACACAGATCAGGTTCACGTTCTTATGTTCTTATGCCAACAAGGTGCTTTGGTAATGATTGATCTGCTCAAAGTTTAATCCCTAGAGCTACTCTGCAATAGCACAGATGTACAGTTGTAGTATTGCAGGGGTCGAACCACAGAGACGAGAGATTCACTCAATAAACCAATTAGACTTGAATTACGCTAAGCAAAAACAATGAAATTAAAAGCAGCAATGAAATCAAAACGGTTGTAAACTCGATGGAAAAGAATTAGGCTTAGGGTTTTTCTCAGGAAATCAGAGAATGCAGATAAAACAATTAGTCAGGATTCAGGTTAAGCGCGGTTCTTGAACTCAAATCATGAAATTATAATTAACCAACTTTCGTTGCGAGAATTATCTAAGTCTAAATCCTAGAATCCCAAATTTCTTTGCAAATCCTAAAGTTATAAACTAGCCTTAAATGCAGGTTTGATATGTTCACAACGTATCTAAACCAAATTTCTTTGTGGATAGCTACTTTGCTCACCCTAGGTTCTTTCCAGTTATTCAATTACACTTTCGTGTCAATCAATTAACCTAAGATCTAAGTTCTAGGTGGCCAGTCCAAAATTAGCTTTAAGAACAACCTATGGTGAAGAACTAATCAGATTATGAACCCTAACTAGCAAATCAATCCAACATTCAATGAAATTCCTTATGAGAACCCTAAACCTAACAAGCTAACTACTCAAACATGAATATTAAAGCAACAGACATGAATGAATAGATTGCAAATAAGAAATCACTGAATAAATAACAGGGATTCGAAATCTTCTCTCAAAACAAACAGAGTTCAGACTTGTCTTCCCAAAAGCTCTCAAAAGTAAAGATGACCAAAGTTTTCTCTCTGAAAGTCTAAAAATATAAAAGGTCTCAATGAAGGAGGCAGAAAACCCTTCTTAAATCTAAAAACACGTTTTGGGCCTTTTTGTAAATACTAAAGACTTCAGGGCTTCACAGATTCTTCAAAAATTGGATAAAATCGCGTTTTTCCTTTTGTGGTCTTCGGTGTCGAGCGACACCGATGATAGTGTCGAGCGACACTCGTGCACAGCTGAAATCATCCTTCACGAAAATCGATCCATTTAGCTCCAAAATGCTCCAAAATCTCCAATTAAGCTCCAAACGTACCTAGGACCTGTAAAGACTCCAAAAGACTCGAAAAACACTAAAAAGACTCTATAAATAAGACATATATCATGGACAAAAACCATAAAAACCATGATATATCAACTCCCCCAGACTTAGCATTTGCTTGCCCCCAAGCAAACAGAACACCAAATAAGAGAAAGAGGTTTGAAAACACGGAGAGTCAACCTTTCATTGGAACATCGCTTTTGACCGATCACCCTGCAACCCAAATACTGCTTCATCATTCCAAATCGAACCACCATGTACTTCTCCGCAGACATTCACAACTTCACAGATTAAGTCCAAAATTCCACAACATTTTCCATAAACCCTCATCGCTGGATCTCACTGATGATTCAGATGCCAAGAACCTTCTAGGTTCTTTCCCGTACTATACTCAAACAAATCAGCCATACACACTTTGGTACTTTTCTCTCCCCCAGACTTGTTCTTTTCGCACACTCATCCACTTTTTTTATGGCATATACACGATAAGGTTAAAGCTGCGAGTACTGATGGTGTTTGCCATCGAGTCCCCGAGTTGTCCCCTTACCTTGTATCAAAGGTTTTCAGTGAATAGTGGGGTCATAGGAAACTTTCCTACCCCTCACTTCCTTCCTTTGTGTGATCATTCCAACTTAGAAGTGAAATAATGGGATCCTTGGAAATTTTCCTAGCCCTTCACTCCTAAGCGAAAATCATTTCAATCTTTTCGCCTTTTTCTTTCTTCTTCTTCTTCACCTTTTAGCTCGTCACAGGGAGAGAAACATCAACATTAAATTTCACACAGGCTTTCATTTGTCAAGTATGAACGAGGAATCAAGCTCTATGAACATCAGTCACATCAATGAGGTAAAAGAAAGAATTCAGAAATTAGCTCAGGTTAGTGGATTCTGTTGGAAACATGGACGCCTCTAGTCAACTGGTCAGCTTCAGGATTTTTTATTAGTCGGATCTAGACTGAATCTGCAGCAGTGGTCACTTAGATGAAAGGTCAGCACAACAATTCCAGGAAAAACATCATAATCTCCAACAGGTTTTGACTCAAAAAAACATATTGACACGACTGACTCTAAAAAAAACGAACACAATGTCAGCAACTAACTCCCCCACACTTAAACAACATTGTCCCCAGTGTTATCTAGCCCGAAGGTGGTGAAACAAAAGAAAGGAAACAGAGAAACGCAGGAAAAACGGAAAACTTACCTGGCTGCAATGATGGTGTTGAGCGACACCGATGATGGTGTCGTGCGACACTTGTTCTCCTCGTACCAAATTGCAGCAGACCAATCCGAATTTCTGGTTTGACTCCGGTTTCCTGATTGGTGTCGACCGACACTGATGGTAGTGTCGCTCGACACCAACCACTTCGTATCTGTTACACCTAAAACACAAAAACATAAAACAAAAATCAAAAGAAACAAAAAGACTTATGTACAGACTTACAGTGGGTTGCCTCCCACCAAGCGCTTTTTTTAAGTCATTAGCTTGACTTGATGGATGGACTATGCATCTGGTGGATCAGACAGTGGCAAAGAATGCCTCTGTGAAAGTCGTCTCATCCATGGTGGTGTGTAAGCGTTGTGCGCATGAGGTCGTCCAAGGAATGCAGGAATAGTACCAGGGTGAGATCTGTGTTTGGGTGACTTTGACCTTTGCTTTGGTGGAGATGAATGGAACCTGATGTTGTGAGCTTCCTGATCAACAGCAGTCACTGGTTCTGTAGACATTTTCGTCAACTCAGGTTGATCTCTCACCTTTTCAGCATCAAACACGTTCGGATCTCCAACTATCACTTCAGGTATTGCACTGAATTGGAATGTCTGACCATCTATGGTTGAATCCTTCAGCTTCTCCATCTTGAAAGTCATGATGGTACCTCCAAGGTGGAGATCAAAGTTACCATGCTTGACATCAATTACCGCTCCAGCTGTAGCTAAAAACGATCTTCCCAGGATAAGAGGATCTTTGGGTTCCTCTCCATATTCCAGAACCACGAAATCTGTAGGAATTATGCAATCACCAACTATAATCGGAACATCCTCCAAGACACCTTTTGGGATTCTTTTAGATCGATCTGTTAGGATCAAAGAGATCTTAGTTGGCTTGAAGTCAGTCATCCCAAGGTTAACAGCTACAGAGTATGGCATGAGGTTGACACTCGAACCAAGATCACACAGCGATCTCTTGTACCTCTCTGAGAAGATAGAGCAGTCCAAAACAAAGCTTCCTGGGTCCGAAAGCTTCTCTGGCATCTTATTCTGAATCACAGTACTGACCTGTTTAGAAATCATCATCACTCCTTCCTCATGACTCAGATTATTAGTCACCATCTTCTTCACATAGTGTTTGAGAGTAGGAGCAATCTTCACAGCATCAACCAAAGGAATTTCAATCACAAGCTTCTCCATCAAAGCCTTGCATCTGGCATCGTCTAGCTCCTGCTTAGAGCTCTTAGGACTCCTTGGGTAAGGAATCTTAAGTTTTTAAACCTTTTCCTCAACTGGCTTTGGCTTCTTAGTGATATCTGATTCAGTTGGCGGCTGGTGTCGCTCGACACTAGTGGTGGTGTCGCTCGACACTGCTAGTGCCTTCTTCGTATCTTCGACTTGGTGTCGCGCGACACTAGTGGTGGTGTCGCTCGACACCGGCTCTGCAGTTTTAAAATCTTCAGCAGATTCCTCCAGTTCCACGATTTCATCCTCAGAAACACCCTTTTTAAGCTCAGGAGTAAGCTTTTTACCACTTCTCAACGTGATGGCACTGCAGTAATGTCTTGGGTTGGTGTCAGTCTTCCCAGGAAGAAATCCTTCTTGTCTTTTTACAGCCTCAGCAGTTTGAGCAACTTACATGTCCAGCTTTTTGACATGAGTGTTCAGAGTTTCGATTTTTCCATTCAAATCCAGATACAGAGCATCAATCTTCCCATTGAAATCCACAGTAATCTTTTGCTGACCTTCCAAGATCTGTTCCAGCATAGATTTCATCTCATTATCAGGAGTTTGAGGAGGAGGAGAACCATAATTCCTTGAAACCTGTTGTTGGAGTAGGATGTCTGGTACTGAGGATTGGAGTTATAACCAGAAGAGTTCTGATTACCTGTGAAGGTACTCCTCTGATTATTTCCATTGTAATTCATGTTCCCTGACTGAGTACTAAATCTCTGGCCCTGAAATCCAGCTCCATTGATGAAGTTAACATCCTCTTGCTCAGCTTCTTCATCAGGTTCGAATCTGACAGATTTCTTACCCACAAGAAGACTGTGCACAGAGTCCAGCTTAGCCTTCACCTCAGCAATCTGCGATCCATCCATGTTTCCAGCCTGCTTCCTTCGCTGATAGTCTGCATTCTTGGTACTATTGCTATATGCCAAGTTCTCAATAAGCACAACAGCATCTTCAGGATATCTGGTGTTGAAATTCCCATTACTTGCAGCATCAAGCGCCATCTGATACCTCCAATCAACACCTCTGAAGAAAATACCCAGCAGCTGAACATCACTGAAACCATGATGTGGACAATCTCTCTGATACGATTTGAATCGCACCCAAGAAGCCTTGAACGCTTCAGTTGGTTCTTGAGAGAATGTCGAAATTTTTGTTCTTAATTCCTCAGACCTAGCATCATCGAAGAAGTTGTGCAGGAAGGAATTCATGGTCTCCTCCCAAGTAGTGAGTGATCCTGGCTCCAACTGCTTCAACCAGTTAGCTGCTTCTCCAGCAAGAGAATAAGGAAACAGCTTGCAGAGGAGGAAATCATTGGACACTCCATTGTATTTGATGCTGGTGACCAAGTCCTCAAACCTCTCGATGTGATCCATAGGGTACTCATGAGAGTGATCATGAAAAGGATGCTGTCCCAAAAGAGTGTAATACACAGGCTTCAGCTCAAAGTCATTCCTCTGAAACGCAGGAGCGCGAATTGCAGACCGATTTGCATAGAATTGCTCAGGTCTGTTGTAGTCACCCAGCGTCCTGATGATGTTACCCTCTCCATCAAGTCGCTGGCCTCTCTCATTACACACATGACCATCTTGGTCTCTCCTGACTCCAGCATCATCACGAACCAATGCCAATGCGTTCTCCATCTCTGCTGGTTTCTGAGACAAAGAGAAAGAACAATGTAAGTAATAAAGTAAAAAATAAAATTAAGAAAAACGATGGGTGTCGCACGACACCAGTGCTGGTGTCGCTCGACACTAAGAAAAACTTAGTCGAAACTCAAGAATTAAAGTCTAATGGCGAAAATCAAGTTCCCGGCAACGGCGCCAAAACTTGATCTGCTCAAAGTTTAATCCCTAGAGCTACTCTGCAAGAGCACAGATGTGCAGTTGTAGTATTGCAGAGGTCGAACCACAGAGACGAGAGATTCACTCAATAAACCAATTAGACTCGAATTACGCTAAGCAAAAACAATGAAATTAAAAGCAGCAATGAAATCAAAACGGTTGTAAACTCGATGGAAAAGAATTAGGCTTAGGGTTTTTCTCAGGAAATCAGAGAATGCAGATAAAACAATTAGTCAGGATTCAGGTTAAGCGCAGTTCTTGAACTCAAATCACGAAATTATAATTAACCAACTTTCGTTGCGAGAATTATCTAAGTCTAAATCCTAGAATCCCAAATTTCTTTGCAAATCCTAAAGATATAAACTAGCCTTAAGTGCAGGTTTGATATGTTCACAACGTATCTAAACCAAATTTCTTTGCGGATATCTACTTTGCTCACCCTAGGTTCTTTCCAGTTATTCAATTACACTTTCGTGTCAATCAATTAACCTAAGATCTAAGTTCTAGGTGGCCAGTCCAGAATTAGCTTTAAGAACAACCTATGGTGAAGAACTAATCAGATTATGAACCCTAACTAACAAATCAATCCAACATTCAATGAAATTCCTTATGAGAACCCTAAACCTAACAAGCTAACTACTCAGACATGAATATTAAAGCAACAGACATGAATGAATAGATTGCAAATAAGAAATCACTGAATAAATAACAGGGGTTCGAAATCTTCTCTCAAAAAAAACAGAGTTCAGACTTGTCTCCCCAAAAGCTCTCAAAAGTAAAGATGACCAAAGTTTTCTCTCTGAAAGTCTAAAAATATAAAAGGTCTCGATGAAGGAGGCAGAAAACCCTTCTTAAATCTAAAAACACGTTTTGGGCCTTTTTGTAAATACTAAAGACTTTAGGGCTTCACAGATTCTTCAGAAATTGGATAAAATTGCGTTTTTCCTTTTGTGGTCTTCGGTGTCGAGCGACACCGATGGTAGTGTCGAGCGACACTCGTGCACAGCTGAAATCATCCTTCACGAAAATCGATCCATTTAGCTCCAAAATGCTCCAAAATCTCCAATTAAGCTCCAAACGTACCTAGGACCTGTAAAGACTCCAAAAGACTCGAAAACACTAAAAAGACTCTATAAATAAGACATATATCATGGACAAAAACCATAAAAACCATGATATATCAATGATTTAGATATTTATACTTTTATAAACATTTCTAACTATGGTTCCAATCTTGGTTGCTTTATATAATTTGTAAACTTTTTTTATTTGTGGGAAGCAAATAATGAAGACTCTTCTTTCATTTCTGTGATGAAAAAACACACCAAAAATCTGATGGAACATATGTTGATGAAAGAGCAAGAGTAATTATGGAACAATATGATGAACACGTGCAAAAACGCTTAGCACAGATAGAGTCCGCCAATGGAGAGGTTTTGACTGATGCCCTTACTCTAGAGGAAAGAAATGAAATTTACAATAAGATAATTATCTTATCTTTGTTAATTTCTAGCTGCAAGTTTCAAAAAAAAAATTTGATGTCGTTAGAGCATCTCTAATGTATTCCTCCATTGTTATCTCTAAAATGGAGGAACTGCAAAATGGAGTTGGATTTCTCTCCAATGTATTCCTCCATTTTTAACTCCAAAAAGAATATTCTAAGTATATTCTTCCTTTTTATTTTATTGTTTATTACTAATAATGCACTCTATTTATAAAAATTACAATTTGACCCATTTATTTTTTTTTTTCTTAAAACTTTCATAAATTATAATATTATTTTTAATTCAACCACTATAATATAAAAATAACATTACACACCATTTAAAATAAGAAAATAAATTATATTTTAATTTAAATATCACCATTTGAATATTTTTCCCACAAATGATCAATTAAAGCATTTCGAAGTGAAAAATGAGCGTTTTTATCTTTGATTTCTCTGAATCGGGCAAGAAAACTTTAGAACTGGATATTTTCGTCCTCGGCTACTTCTACCTCTGGAGGTGGAGCTTCTCTTCCTAGTTCAATTGGTGCATCAAGATCACGCTCATCCTCGACTTATCATGTTATGTAGAATTATACATGTAGTCATTATGTCATGTAACTTACTTTGTGGCATTAAAAAATCTAAACATCCAAGTGGCATAAAAAATCTAAAATGAAAAGAAAAATCGATGATGGAACATCAGCTGTTATCAACTCTTTAGAAGAAAGAAATAAGCAACTTTTGGAATAGTTAAAGAAGATAGTTTACCAGATTTTTATTAATCAGTTGTTGTAATAAATTTATTTTATGCTATTGTAATTTCAGTACTTTTTATGTATTTTTAATTTTATATTATTTCTAGTTTCAGTTAATTTTCTTATATTTTTTATTTTCTATTCTCAAATTTTAAATCTATCTATATTTAATTTTAAATTAAATATATATAATATAAAGGATTAAATTATAAATAAAAAATATAGTTTTAAGAATTAATGAAAAGTAAAGGACTATCCTGTAAATAAAAAAATTCACCTGCAAAATGGAGTTGAAAATGAGGTTACTCCATATTTGGAGGAAAAAATAGCATTCCTCCATTTTGCAGGTGAAAATAGGGTAGAGTTGGAGAAGAATTTCCTCCAAAATGACATTTGGAGGAAGAAATGGAGTAAGGTTGGAGATGCCCTTAGAAACTAAGTATGATTACAGCGACAAGAGAGGTTCACTTTTTCTCTTTGACTTGTTCGACTTGGCTTCGGCTTTTACTCGTTCAATTTTTCATTATGGCTTTGACTCTGTTGATTAATTTTTATCTTGTTTGGCTTAAACTTTGATTGTGTTTTCTAATTGAGATGAAACCTAAACTTTATTGTGTTTTCTTTGTAGGTTGCTGGAATATCAAAGTAAGGTCGTGTATTTGGACTTGGATCACTTCAAAGTGGGATTTCTATGTCTTTTAATGGTTCGTCTGTCTTGCCACAAACTACTGAAGAAGTGGGAACCTTAACTCGCCGAATTGAAGAACTTGAAACTGATCTGCAAAAAAAGTCAGGATGAGAATGCTCTTTTCCAGAAACGTTTCAAAAGTATGGAGAAACTCGTGGAGACTCTTTTTGGCCAAGATGTCTTAACCACAACAACTCCATCTTCTTCTACTCCAACATAAACTTCCGCTTCTCGGCTTATTTTATAGCTACTAGGATTTTTGTTTGTTTTTTATGTTTTTTTTATTTGGTTTTAGTGTGTTTAGTCATGTTGTTTAACATGACTTTATTTGTTTTTTACTTAGACATCTATGTTCTTTTATGTTTCTGAAATAAATTTTATTTTATTAGTAATTTAATTGAAAATTATTTAGCTTCTTGTTTTTTTTTTAATTTAATGAATGATTCACAATTAGCTGAGAAAATTGTTGTGCAGCTAAAACGTTACTAAGCCTCTAACTATAGTCATAATTACTGACGTTTTAGGTGAGAAAGAAGCCAAAAAAACATGAATGATTGTGACAATAATTTAGTAAAAAATAATGATAATTTAAAGAAAATAAATCAGTAGCTAATTAAAACGAAACCGTTACAAAGTTTTAGTGAAAAGCGAGATAAAATTTGGTCACAAATTAGGATCGATAGTAAACGTTCTTTACGTCATCACTGACGATTTGTGACAAAAAATTTGTCAAAAGAAGCGACAAAATTGAGACAGTGTAGTAGTCACAAAATATGACGATTTTAGGACTCTGTTTTTAGTCTTTAAGCGTTATGAATATGCGATGCCACTTTAGTCATTATTTGTGACGATTTGTAACTAAAATTCCGTCAAAACGAGTGACAGATGTGAGATATTATACATGTAGCAAATGAGATAATTTCGAGATGTTTTTTTTTATAGTCTCTAATTAATACGGTTTTCTTACTATAGTTTTCGTCGTCATTTAAAAAATATTCGTCACAAATAATGTAACGATTTTGATACGAAAATAAATTTGTAACAACTTTATTGTGAGTATTCAGAAAATATCACAATTTCATCACAATAATTTTATTACTATGAAATTGTGATTACTGTGATGAATTTTTTTGTAACAATATACTTTTTTCTTGTAGTAGTGAGAGGATCTGACATATCTGGAAAAAGCAAACACTAGCTCGGACTTAGCTAGAAAAGTCGAACAGTTTTTTTTTTTTTTGTCTAAAAAATGTCGAAAAAAAGTCGAAAAAAAGTCGAAAAAAAGTCGAACAGTTTCAAGGGATCTAAAGCAAAAGAGATCAAAGCTGAATAAATCAGTTTTTTTTTTTATCCAAGTAGTTTGTGTTTTCCATTAGCCCCACTAATTCAT